TTATCTATTGTTATTGGTTAAACTATCAATCAAAGTGCATAATCTATTGTTATTGGCCAAACTATCAAAGTGCATAATCTATTGTTATTTGTTAAACTATCAAAGTGCATAATCTATTGTTATTGGTTAAACTGTCAAAGTGCATAATCTATTGTTATTTGTTAAACTATCAAAGTGCATAATCTATTGTTATTTGTTAAACTATCAAAGTGCATAATTTATTGTTATTTGTTAAACTATCAAAGTGCATAATCTATTGTTATTTGTTAAACTATCAAAGTGCATAATCTATTATTGGTTAAACTGTCAAAGTTCATAATCTATTGTTATTTGTTAAACTGTCAAAGTGCATAATCTATTATTTGTTAAACTGTCAAAGTGCATAATCTATTGTTATTTGTTAAACTGTCAAAGTGCATAATCTATTATTGGTTAAACTGTCAAAGTGCATAATCTATTGTTATTGGTTAAACTGTCAAAGTGCATAATCTATTATTGGTTAAACTGTCAAAGTGCATAATCTATTATTGGTTAAACTGTCAAAGTGCATAATCTATTATTGGTTAAACTGTCAAAGTGCATAATCTATTGTTATTGGTTAAACTATCAAAGTTCATAATCTATTGTTATTGATTAAACTGTCAAAGTTCATAATCTATTGTTATTGGTTAAACTGTCAAAGTTCATAATCTATTGTTATTTGTTAAACTATCAAAGTGCATAATCTATTGTTATTTGTTAAACTATCAAAGTACATAATCTATTGTTATTGGTCAAACTATCAAAGTGCATAATCTATTGTTATTTGTTAAACTATCAAAGTACATAATCTATTGTTATTTGTTAAACTATCAAAGTGCATAATCTATTATTGGTTAAACTGTCAAAGTGCATAATCTATTGTTATTGGTTAAACTGTCAAAGTTCATAATCTATTGTTATTGGTTAAACTGTCAAAGTTCATAATCTATTGTTATTGGTTAAACTGTCAAAGTTCATAATCTATTGTTATTTGTTAAACTGTCAAAGTTCATAATCTATTATTGGTTAAACTGTCAAAGTGCATAATCTATTATTGGTTAAACTGTCAAAGTTCATAATCTATTGTTATTTGTTAAACTATCAAAGTGCATAATCTATTGTTATTGGTTAAACTATCAAAGTGCCTAATCTATTGTTATTGGTTAACCCTTATCCTGCCAGCCCCATGTACTTTTTACATTGACTTAACCAGATAAGAGCTAAACTGCTTTTTCAGTTGTATAAAATTGGAAACCAGTGATTTTGTTTTTAAACAATGTCCTACTGGAATACGAGATAAATTGGACTAGTACGTAGACATAGTAGCATAGAAATTACTGTGATCAATACTTTCAGTAGAGAAAACCATTTAGTGATGTATGAAGTAATCTTGTGTATTCTTGCACTAACTCTTTCCTTGTTTGATCGTCACACTAAATAAAAGGTGAAGATTTGCTTCTGGTCCAAAGATAACATTATTTAAAAAAAAAAAATTTCACAATATTTTGGCTGAAACCACAAAGTCCCACTTTGAGCAGGCCTGCGCCTAAAAAGTTTTTTTTTCTGGTTGCCTTATGCATATCTTTTCTTTTCTCAGCTTTCTGACAAACAACATGAAGAATTACAACAAGTTCGTAAACACATTAGATCATGTTTCCAGAAAATAGGATGTTTTTTACTACCCCATCCCGGTCTCAAAGTTGCCACAAATCCCAACTTTGATGGTCGCTTGTCAGGTAAATACACTATTTCTGAAAATTCTTTTAAACACACATTCAATCTATTTCTTCTTTTGGAACTACTCAGAAGCAGCTGTATGTTCATGATATCTTTGTTTTGTGTTTTGTTATACATGTGTATGTTTCTAACAACATGAAGGAATGGCATTAAAAAAATAATTAACATATAAATGAATATTTGAAGATAATAATATATTCTATTGTGCGAATATTTGATCTCAGCGATATGTTATTAATTCCTGTTAGAATGATTTTTACTGTCTCATGAAAATTTGTTAGATTAGAGCTGTTTACAGTATATGTTGTAGAGAACCTCCAAATACAGACAAATCACTGTTTACTAAATACAAATGATTTAATATCCATTATTTTAGACATTGATGATGATTTCAAGTCACAACTGAAAGAATTGGTGCCGTTGCTTTTGTCACCTAGCAACCTTGTTGTCAAGCAAATAAACGGTACAGAAGTTACTGCTAGAGCTCTTGTTGAATATTTCAAGGTAATTTCAGACCTTAGTTAAATAATTAATTCATAAATTCTATTCAGGCCCAATTATTTTTTCTACAATGTTTGTGGTTTTGTCTATTATCACTCGCCATCATTTAAGGAAAAAGCTGGCAATCCATGTGATTGCCCCAGGGAATCATGGGACACTTTTGTTTTTGTTGTTTACAATGTTAATCTTTAGTTTCCCATTGGGATTCGAATTTAGTAAGCAAATTTGTCTTGGGATTAGGATTAATTGGATGTATACACTGTCGTGCATAATGGTATAACATTTTAACCCTTTATAAATTATTTCAAATTTGGCTGATCAAGCGATACATTTTCTATAAACCAAATAAAATATTGTTATAATAACTGCAGCATAAACATGCATTATAGGATATGTTTGTATTGTAATTTTTTCGAGTTAGCATTTCGCAAGTGGAGTTCCGGGTATGTATACTTACTTTTTTATAATGGAAGCTTCTTAATGTGTATGTTTTTCATTTATTTGTTAGGCATATATCCAAATATACCAAGGGGATGAGCTTCCTGAACCCAAGTCTATGTTACAGGTCAGTATAGGTGTATCACTATAAAATGTGTAATGAAACATTATAAAATATGGCATTTACATGCTCAATCAACCTAGTTGTCATAGTTGGAGATGGCATGTTCAATCAGCCCTGAAGGATAATTAAATGTTAATGTATTAACTCATACGTGGTACAGTAATATGTACAATTAAATCCAGTGATGGGTGTAATATTAATGAGCAAGTCAAGAATGGTTGTCTACTAAGATATCTATCATTTGTCCTGTCAATTTTAATAACTGAAGTAATTTTAATTGATCAGAACATGGCATTGTATTGTATATGGTAGAATTTTTGTCAAAATTACACAGTTTGAAAATACTCAGTGATCAGCGTGGTTGCTGAACACTATGGTAGGTGTTCCGAATATTCATTTATATGTTATAGAGCCCCTCTTAATCATTTCATGTTTCTTTTGGTCTTTAATGATTTGAGTGATTCTTGGCTGATACACGGTTACTGAAAAACAAAATTTCAGGTCAATAACAGTGCAATGTTTAAAATGAAAACCTTATTTTTCAGGCAACAGCGGAAGCTAATAATCTTGCAGCTGTGGCCAATGCAAAAGATACATACAATAAAGAAATGGAACTGGTAAGTTTTGTTTTGAGTACTCTCCATGGGATATCCTGTTCATTGTTAGTTTAACTTTCACTTTTTTGATTTATTTTTTTCTGTAATTTTTTTTGCTTACTTTTAAACTAACTGGGCCATTGCCTGCCGTTACTGATCAAAATTATTTGCCAAATAAGATGACAGAATTTGACTTTTTAAAAATTAAGAGTTAAGGTTACACTGAAATTGTGGTTTATGAGGTGAAATAGAGTTTTCAAATCTACATTGCCTGTATGATGTCAAGACACAGAAACATCCCTTCAAGTTGTCTGCGGTTACAATTGTGGTTTTGCTGACCTAATTTACATATTTTTCCATATTAATGATGCATATTCATGGAATCCATACAACATGTGCTTCCCAAGCAATTTAAACATAGCGATTCTTTTCATGCTTGATTGGAACTTTGAAACTGTCGTACATTTTTTCCCAGATTTTAGAAAATGTTTAGAGATATTTCCCACTCAAAATGGGGTTAATTTCTTCACAATTACTGTAATTTTCACCGAATTCATTTTTAATTTTGAACTTTACCAGTAACAAACAAGTTGTGACATTGCTTGAAGTTTCTGACCCAAAAAATTACTATATTAAATGGAGCATTTTTTGTGGATGGTGCCTGAAGTTGATTTTGATGCCCAGAGGGTTAGTGTGCAACTTTGGTGTGATACTTTATAATTAAATTTCTTTCTGTAGGTATGTGGCGGTGATAAACCTTATCTTAATCCACATGATATGGATATTACTCACGAGAGATGTCGAGAAAATGCCATTGCTTTATTTACCAATTTGAAGAAGATGGGTGGTGATGAATTCAGTCTTCAATATGCACATAAACTGGAATCAGAATTGGAAGATATTTATGAGAATTTTTGTAAACACAATGATAGCAAGAACATTTTCAATGCTGCCCGTACTCCTGCCACGTTTTTCTCGGTTATGATCATAATGTACTTCCTGTCCGGTATATTCGGTATTTTGGGGCTTTATTCGTTAGCCAACCTAGCTAATTGGATCCTTGGATTTGCTCTCGTTGCGTTATTTATGTGGGCGTATATCCGTTATAGTGGACGGTACAGAGAAGTGGGTTCTTATATTGACATATTTGCGGAGATCATATGGAACTCGGTAAGTTGACAGTCATAATGTTAGTGCATACTGCATGTATATGTGTCTTCTTGTAATTCTCAAACACCTGTGTACTAGTTTTATAAATTAACTATGCATTCCAGGCAATTCAATTGCAATGTAATACTTTTATCATTGAAAAGTATCTGATTTGAAAAACTGATCAGAATTCGAACTAGAGGGCAGAATGACATATGGCTAGGGGCTCACCTGTCTTGTTACATATCAACTTGTAATGTACTGCCTTGTTCAGAAAGAAAGAGCATTTATTATTGGATGGCATGAAAAATATTAAAATGAGGAGTATTAGGTACTTCATCTCTGCATATTTTCTCAATGTGAAATTACCTGATAAAAAGTGATTTAGATTAGTGATTTGAGTAAAGATCAAGAAGTATTATTTTTATACTATAGACAAATGATGATTAATTAACCTATAAATGATTAAAAGATACCACAGTCAATTCTAAAAATTCATAATTTTTCTTTATCACTGAGGTAATAGTAGGTGCTTTTTTGTTTACTGCGAGAATGTAGCATAGTACATGAAAGGCGTGGACCGAACGCCTGCCACAACCTTGCTTACTATGTCAATTACACTGTCAGTAATGATGATAAAGTATCCCTTGTCGTGTGTATTTCAAAACTCGCTCCACGCAAGATCTTGCCAGAAACAGAAAATCTTCTATTTGTACACCTGTGTGAATTGACCCATATTTAAACTAGAAATACACGTCTTTATTTATCTGAAAATATAAAACATTTCTTTCTTATCTGATGACAGCTATTAAAGAAGGTTGTGGAAGGCATGATCTACCAGACTTCCAAGACAGCGCTAAAACGTTCTTTGGAGAAGAAAACAAACTGAAGATGGTTCTACTCGTAACCAAGGAGATGATAAACAGGTGCATGCCATGTGTTGTTGTTATTGGCTGATAATATTGAATGAATATTTTGGGAGTGAATCAAGCTTTAGTTTTTAAAAAAAAAAATGTTTAGGGTATTGAATAATATAAAAACGTGCCTTTATTTACATCTAATGTTTAAAAATAAACACGCCTAGTGTTCTGTTTGTCCAATTCAACAATATTTGAACTTTAAATAAAAATTAATTCCATGCAGATATCCCTTTCATATCAAGATCATCTGATTCTAACTTTCAATTATTAATAAAGTAAAACTAAGTAAAAAGGGAAATCTCAGGATTCTATTACAGCCAAAATATTGGCCTTTATTGTTCAACAACAAATACCCTAATTCCAGTCACATTCACATTGTTCTAAAATGTGTAACAAATTTATCCAGTTCGCTGGAATCTTATCATTGATATCAGTATTTTGAACGACAATTCTTTAAAAGGGCATAACAATGGACAACATTTCTATGCAACTTTGTTGCAACTTTGTAGCCGATTCATGCTTTCATTTACTCGGTGTATTTTGTGATAGTTGTATTGGGGATGATTTTCACACGTTTTGTGGTATAGTATTTGTCAATAAAAAAAATTCACATGTCTATATTGGTATCACAACACTTAATTGTAAATTTTTCAAAATTAAAAAGCAAAATATTTGGCACAGTTTTAAAAAAAAAAAAAAGGACTTGAAATATATGTAACTTTGTACTAATTGTCTGTGTTGTCATAGTGATTCTAGATTGTATAAATAAATTTTTCCGTCAATGTATTTTGTTCAATAGCTGTGGAGAAAATAATTTATAGAAAAATACCTTTGTACAGAGATTAAATCACTTAGTATTTTGGTAAAGAAACGAAAAAAAATTAACAATACCAGAAAAATATCAACATTCCCCTGTACAAACTGGTACTGTTTTGAAAAACATTTTACTCAATGGTCAACATATCTATTCATTAGGTATTATTTGTTTAAATTTAGGATGTAAAGTGATGCGTACATACCTTGTCCATCTCTGCCGTGCTTTTAACTACAGTGTATCCATTCACTGATATATTCAATTATATTGGTTCAGCTCTATCAAATAGCGTGTATTCATAGCATCATACACAGCTGTGTGCATATTCCATGTTTCTTATTGTGTTGTCCACTCTGTAAATAACCTCCTTTTTCTACAAATCTTTGCTAAATGCATGTCCAATAGGTCCAAGTGTTTTGTAATGAGTCTGTCTTGTTTCATGTGATGTTTTTCAGATTTTATAAAAATGAAGTATTTAATATTGAAATGTATGTAATGTTATGGAAGGACAACAACAATCATGTTATTTATTTTTTCTTTAAAATTGATTTTTTTTTTTTTTGCAACTGTTAAAATTATTGTAATTTCCTAAGCGTTGTTGGTAAAAAGGCTTATTTTGGTAGTGGTCTGAACAGCATCAAGTTATCTGTAAGTTCTGTGTTTTGTGTGTACAATGTACAATGTAGTTGTATAGCCTTGGAAGAACTATTCTGTGTTTGATCATCCAACCAGATGTGTTGATGTATTCCCATATACATGTATGGTATATCTATCTCCTTGTATAGTGCATACACCCTCATGTATGATATGGTACATGTTGTATCTACAATTGTGATGCATGCATTGCCATATATGTTGCATGCATTGCCATATATGCTGCTTGCATCACCATATATGGTGCATGCATCACCATATATGTTGCATGCATCACCATATATGTTGCTTGCACTGCCATATATGCTGCTTGCATCACCATATATGTTGCTTGCATCACCATATATGTTGCTTGCATCACCATATGTTGCATGCATCACCATATACATGTATGTTGCTTGCATCACCATATATGTTGCTTGCATCACCATATGTTGCATGCATCGCCATGTATGGTGCATGCATCACCATATATAGAGCATTGTCATACAAGGCATGTATCTGGTATGTATTATTAAAACATTTCAAAATCATGTTACATTTTTCCTCAGTTTCCTTTACTTTATATAATCAAAACAATTTTGCCATTTGAAAAACAATATTGGTTAATACATAATATTGCTATAGAAGAAAACAAAAGTATATTGCAATAATTTATAATAATTAACGCAATCAATATTAAGTGTATTTTGTTTATCCGTCACTTAGCGTCACCTAGTAAAATGGCAACACTCTGAAAGATCTGAATTATTAATACATAAAAGTACTATGACCCTCTTGTTGTTCCCCTTTCGGACGTAGTCCAAAAATGGGGACTTATGTTTTGCCCTGTGTGCGTCCGTGCATCCGTGCGTCCATGATCACCTGTATCTCGAACATGCATGGACCGATTAAGTTCAAACTTCACTCATACATCACACATTATATGGGACATATGCACATGCATTTTTTTCATGATCCGATTAACGATAGCTGAATAGCGGCCATTTTAAGGCCGAAAATGCATCAAAATCGCACATTTTCACCATTCCGGACCCGGATCTCAGTTATGCATGGACGGATTTTGTTCAAATTTGGTACATACATTAAACATAATAGGACCTTGATGCACGTCATTTTTTTCCCCGGATCAAGTTCGAAATGGCCGACTGGCGGCCATTTTGTTTTAAAGAATTCAGTTCTGGATCCGTATCTGAGACATGCCTGGATTGATCAAGTTCAAACTTCACACACACAAGGTACATCATGTCACAAATATGTATGTGCATTTGTATCATGATCTCATTAACGATAGCCAAATGGTGGCCGCTTTAATGCCGAAAATGCATTGAAATCGCACATTTTCACCATTCCGGACCCAGATCTCAGTTATGCATGGACGGATTTTGTTCAAATTTCGTACATACATTAAACATAATAGGACCTTGATGCACGTCATTTTTTTTTTGGATTGGGTTTGAAATGGCCGACTGGCGGCCATTTTGTTTTAAAGAATTCAGTTCTGGATCCGTATTCGAGACATGTCTGGATTGATCAAGTTCAAACTTCACACACACATGGTACATCATGTCACAAATAGATATGTGCATTTGTTTCATGATCCGCTTAACAATAGCTGAATGATGGCCATTTTAAGGCCGAAAATGCATCAAAATCACGTATTTTCACAATTCCGGAACC